GTGGTCCTCAACCTTTTTAATGCCGCGACCCCCCAACCGGTCGTAAGTCAAGGACTACTCAACTGGTCGTAAGTCGAGGACTACTCAACTGGTGCAGCACCGTTTGCAGACTGGGACTTTTGGCGGGCTCAGCAGGGCAGAGACAGCCTGGACAATTCCTATTGGCTTTTGAAAGCCAATAGAATTAGACTTTATTCAAGAGAGTCTAATTCTATTGGCTTTCAAAATCCAATAAAATAAAAGGGAGTAGCACAGCTAAGGAAAAGGGGAAAAAAATGGCGGACTACATTGTTTGGCGAATCCCGTGAAATGGTCGTTCGACCCCAAATGGGGTCCCGACCCACAGGTTGAGAACCACTGCTCTAGATAAAAACGATCCTTGGCTCCTTTTGTTGACAAACGTATAGCTTTATTAGAGATCAAGTGTGTTGCAGCATTGCATAGCCGGAACTGAGAACTGCATGCCCAAATCTCTAAGTTCTACTCCCCCTGCCTTAACTGTCTCTCGTTGCCCATCCCAATGTAAGCAATCAAATCCATGCAAGATGTTTTCATAACGGTCAATCTCAGCGGTGTTTGGATCAACAACTTAAGATATGCTGACAATACAACTGGGGTATTCTCCAGAGGGGTAACCATGCTGGTGAAGGAAGATGGGACTGATCATCCAGACTGGGGACCCTGCTTCATCTTAAATCAGGGCTCTTCAAATCTGGCCCTTTTGACTTGTGGACTTCAACTCCCAGAGTTCTGGGAGTTGAAGTCCACAAGTCATAAAAGGGCCAAGTTGGAAGACCCCTGTCTTAAAGCTTCTTCCATCTCTTTCACAGGTGGATGAGGGAGTATATCACAGTCACCTCCTGGAACTTAGCAACCTGTTAAAAGAACTGACTGCTGCTGATATCGAAAATACCGGCCACTTGACAGAGGAACAATTCAAGTAAGAGCCACTGTATAGTCTGCACCTGCAACAGGACAATAAAATCAGAACTGGAGCCTTAGAAATATCTATACATTTTTAACTGATATAGGGCGGTGTTTGGGGTTTTTTCTATTTCAAAAATTATATCCTGGCCACGCACTGATCCGGGTTATCAAAAGATGTCAGCATGTTGCTCAAATCCAAGCTTTGTTGTTGAGTATCTTATATTTTATACGAAATGCAGTTTTCTCCTTGCACTGGGATAAATATGAGGGAGTCTTCCAGGGTGAAAGCTGAAGTAGCTTTGTTCTTTTGGGAGGCACATAAGAAGCAAAATTAGGGCCAAAGAGTAAGAGAAGTAAAATTTCACCCCACCGTATCCACTGTCATTGCAATCCATTTTTAATCTTTTTTAAAAAAAAATAACAGGTGATTGGGATAACACTCAATATTGCTATCTGTTTGCAAACTGGAATAGTTTTCTGGTTAAGAGTTCCTTGGTAGCAGAACATTGGGCAAGTGATTATCACTCTGAGTGAGATGGGCAGTTTCTAAAGTGGATATATATTTCATCATCAACATTCTAGCCACTGGCTATCCATTGCAGGATGAAGGCCTCTTCCGCGTGTTTCCAACAAATAAGGTCTTGAGTTTTCCTTGGCCGACCGGGCCCACAATACTTGCTGATGCCGTTGATCCATCTTGTTTTAGGTCCCTTTCGTGGACACTTTTGATCAAGTGGGATCCATTCTATGACTGCCTTGGTCCACCTGCCCTCAGTTCTTCTTGCTATGTGACCAGCTCATTTCCATTTCCATTTTACTCTGTTGATGGCATCGTATACTTTAGTTTATTCTTTAATCCTCGTGCGGGTCTTTCTATCTTGTGATGCCAAGCATGTATCTTTCTATGGCTTGGTTGCTTGCTCTATCATCTATCTATCTATCTATCTATCTATCTATCTATCTATCTATCTATCTATCTATCTATCTATCTATCTATCTGTCTATCTATTATCAAGACTGCTAACATCGGATGTTCTGGCTTGCCATATATGAAGTAAACCTGTTTTATTTAGCCTGTATAGCACTTCTAGAGTTAAAGCAGATAATACTGGCCTAGTGGATGGGAAAATATGCTAGCTAACCATAACAATATCTGAGCACAGTATTGCCAAGGTCAGCTGTAACGGGAGGGACACTTCACACTTCACATTAATTGGAGAATATGATTGATGACTGTAAAATGAAGGAGTGAATTATGCTTTGTCACGGGTGATTGGGGGAGGGAGGATTCAGTTTTTGGCTTAACTTTGTATGTGCTGAAGCTATGCAGAAATAAAAGGATTCTTTAAGGTAAATAAGCCTCAAAGTTCGTTGAAAAGCTGCTTCTTTTCGGAACCATGACATCTATCTATCTATCTATCTATCTATCTATCTATCTATCTATCTATCTATCTATCTATCTATCTATCTATCTATCTTTACCTACCTACCTACCTCAATATATATACAAAAATCTGTGAACAAAGGGTAAGGGAAAGACAGCATCTTGCACAACTATTTGCTCAGCTTTGGGAGAACTGAGATGTCTGTCCCCTTTTTGAAAAAAGCTGATATTTTTTTAAAAAAAGGTTGTGCCTCAGTTTTATCCAAAGGTAATATGTTTTCTCTCTCCTACAACAGCCTGGTCTTGAGGACAGCCTTCCCACTAAAAACAGATGAAGAGATTCAGGAGTTACTTGATGCAGCTGGCTTCAGGCCAAATGTTGGTGCCGTTATGTACAAGCTGTTATTCTTAGAGGTAAGTTGGAACATTGCATAAGAAGCAGTTCAGCATTTATGGAGATGAAAGGCTGGGATGTGCAATAAGACTAGATTTCCAAAACTGGAATGAATACTGAGAAAACATATAAAATATTATTTACCTTTTTAAGTGAAAAAAAAAAACTTGCAAGATTTTGGCCAGTCTGTAATTGTGGATGAGCAAAGAACAATTTCATTAAATAAAATTACATTGCTTCTAGTTTAGGACTTCAATTCCCAGAATTCCTGAGCCAGCCAGGCTGAGGGGAAAGGGAGAGGTTTCCAAGCTGAGACATGCTGGCTCAGGAATTCTGGGGGTTGAAGTCCCTGAGTCTTAAAGTTGCCAAGGTTGAGGACCCCTGATATAGGGCAGGGGTAGGCAACCTTGGCTTTTTTATGTATTGTGGACTTCAACTCCCAAAATTCCTGAGCCATCCATGCTGAGGGGAGAGGTTTCCAAGCTGAGCCATGCTGACTCAGGAATTCTGGGAGTTGAAGTCCACAAGTCCTAAAAGAGCCAAGGTTACCTACCCCTGTTCTAGTTATTTCACTGTTCATTTTTCTCATGTCAGCATGTGGGATTTTGTTCCTGGTGGGAAGCCAAAGGGCTCCTCCACACGACAGGACACGACACGTATCCGTGTTTTAAGAAGCTAGCCTATTGTAATTTATTTGGTAACCTATCATTAAACAAGCCTTAGTTTTAGAAATATGCAAACTTAGCCAGTGAATTCTTTCACAGTGGGGAAAAACAAGCTCTTTTGTCATGTTGAATAATTGCCTACAGTTGAGAGAAGGGAGATGCTTCGTAGCAACAATGAACAAAATGCTGCTAAGCCACTTATTCACTTACAGGATGAGGAAGGGAAAACAGAGCCCCTAATTGCAAAACTTAAGAACCAATATGTGGTTGAGAAACAGACGTATCTGAATGAGCTGCGTGCTGAACTAGGAACCTTGGTGTGAGTATGTGAGTGGGAGGTGACTCCCAATGGTTAAAAGCACATCTAAATTCAGATCCATTATAATCTCCTCCTTATCCACTTGCTTTCTGTTTGCATTTACAAATAGCCTGTCTGGATCCAAACTAGACATCTTCATCTTAATACCATATCAATACCACTTTACAATGCCTTGGTAAGGCCACACTTGGAATACGGCATCCAGTTTTGGTCACCACGATGTAAAAAAGATCCATGCGGAAGGGGGTGGGACCGGGGCAAGCGCCAAGGCATGGTCCATTTCTTCATTCCTCACAAAGGGTGACACCTCCCCAGCATGCCCCCAGGGGGTGGGGCCGACGCGGCAGGGGCTGGTTCCTCGCTGTTTCCAGACGGCCTTGTGGAGCTAAGACTGAATGAATTTCAACATAGATGGCCACCACAAAATTGTACATTGGCTCCCGGCCGGCCTGGGCCTGGGCCAAGGCAGCGGGGGCCGTTCCCTCATTGTTTCCAGGATGGCTTCGCGGGGCACATGAAACCACTTTGCGGGCCACATCCGGCCCCCGGGCCTTCTGTTTGACATGTCTGACGTAACGCCTTTTCAGCAATGGCTTTTGCTCTCCTCTTCTTTCCAGAGAAGTGAGGCCTGATGATCTGAGGGCAGCTTTCTGTATAATTGACCACGGCTTAACTGAGCAGACCTTGGACTCTTACCTCTCTTATGCCTACCAAGTTCCCAAAGAGCAGCTGGACCCAGCAGTCTCCCTTCCCATAGACATTCTGATGCAAAGGCTTATGACGGGAGATCTCCACAGACAGGGAGCTGCCTCGGGACAACCGCAGCCAGTGCCTCCATCTCACGTGGCCGAAGAAGCAGATCATCCCAGCAACTGACTCGACCCACTTGCTCTCCTGCTCCGAGATTCATTGGAATCGTAAGACCTGCTCAGGTCGAACTGAGAACAGTTGCCCTGCCAGAGCTTGCAGCTGATAACTGAGCCTGCAGGAGCAAAGCCGTGATCCCGGTCGATTTTCTTAGGCTTAAGACAAAGCTTAAAAGTAATGACAAAATCCACGGTCAGTGCTATTAAAATGTCTTTTAAAATCCATGCAAAATATTTAGTACGGAGCATCCCATTTCTCAGACTGGGGAACTAACTTCCACTCATGGAGGAAGGGTTAAAGTGGAATCTGGCAGAGCTCCAGGTTTGTTTGCAAAAAGTAGCAGTATTTCCTCTCCCAATAAATATTCCACAACAGGAACCCATGAAGAAATTGTGAAATGACAGTTCAGCCAAATGGATGCTAAAATAATTTAAACCTGTGCAGTTTTCAGAAGTTTTATGTTTTATTTATAATAATTGAATTATCCACAGTCTGCTGGAGGCTAGAAAGTATAAACACAGAAACCAGGTTAGCCAAGCAATTGAAGAGGTAGCGAAACTAAATTACAAAGCCAAACAACATAACCATTTTTTCCCCTGTCAATTCAACATATTTTTGCTATGCTCCAATTTGCACTGAAAAAAGAGGGAGCTTACCAAGTCTTGGAAACTGATGGTTTCCAGATTAGCAATTTAAAAATGTATAGTTTGTTTATATAAACAGTGTTGTTAAGATGCAATAAACTATTAAATAAACTTTCCTTATAAGCCTTCCTATATCTGACATCAAAGGGTTTTGTGCTAGGGGATTCTTTTTTCCAGTATGTTGCGGAGAAGCAAATATGAAAAGTTCTTATTAGTGAAGAAAGAAAAAATCATTTTGTCCATTTTTAAAAATCTAATGTATACTTTCCCTCAATAGCATGTGGAAGGGACGTGCTATCATGAGAATAGTTTATACTGTTCCTTCAAAGTTGCCATGTAAGTCTCAGCTGGAAAAACGTATATGTTGGATAAATTTATATACACAAATCTGTCCATCAGGATAGACTGTGTCCAGAATATGTCTAGCTGAATAGCTGCATAACTGGCATGGAACACCTGTAGCTTAATTTATTGTTCTACTTAAGAACTGCACCTACTTAGATTTGGACGTTTATTGATAATCTAAGAAATGGAAGAAAAATAGCTAAGATTACAAAAATGTTATAAGCCAAATATCTTCAGATACAAGAAAAGGTTTAGTAAAATAAGCATAAGACCACACGTTTTGGCTTGCTTGAGGACAAAAGTACAGAGTTAACAGTTTTATTCCAAATTAATATGTGTGTTTTTTTTTTTAACAAAATATAATTTGCAAACCTAGCACAGGCAGAAAAACGAGGATCTTCCTGTAATAGGTGCAATTCAGCATTGTTTGTTTCTGAGATGGTCCCATATGCTTAAGTTAAATGTCATGTAAATGATCTGTCTTACGGACAAATCTACATCCACTCCAGTCCAGAGCCTTATAAGAACATCTTCCTCCACTGCTTACCCCAAAGGACAAACGTTCTGCCCTCAAAGTGGTTTCAGCTTCTCACTTTAGCTTCTGAGGGATCACTTTGTTCCCACTTGTGGCGATCGGGATCAGCAGCTTTCTGTACTCGAAAGGTAAGTGTCGCTCAACCAGGACATGCAGAGGCATCTTGTCTGTTATCAGTCCTTGCCTGTGCAGAAAGGGGTCATAAGAAGACAAGGCCAAAAGAAGCACGCCTGAGACCAGATAGTGCAGTGGTTCTCAACCTTTTTAATGCCGCGACCCCCAACCGGTCGTAAGTCGAGGACTACTCAACTGGTGCAGCACCGTTTGCAGAATGGGACTTTTGGCGGGCTCAGCAGGGCAGAGACAGCCTGGACAATTCCTATCGGCTTTTGAAAGCCAATAGAATTAGACTCTATTCAAGAGAGTCTATTCTATTGGCTTTCAAAAGCCAATAGAATAAAAGGGAGGAGCACACTAAGGAAAAGGGGGAAAAAATGGTGGACTGTGTTGTTTGGCAACCCCCATGAAATGGTCGTTCGACCCCAAATGGGGTCCCGACCCACAGGTTGAGAACCACTGAGATAGTGCTTGCCTCTTTCCAACAAATCCTCCTAATGCAGGAGTCCCCAATCCTAGCCCGTGGACCGCGGTGTGCCAGCAACTGGGCTGTGCAAACAAGCCCCATCCGCGAGATGCAGGCAGCACACAAAACCATGTCTCCTCCGGTCCACGGAAAAACCTCTCTCCACGGAACCCGTCCCTGGTGCCCAAAAGGTTAGGGGCCTCTGCTGTAGGGACTAGGCTAGGCCAGGGGTCCCCAACCCCTGTCCGTGGACCGGTACCGGGCCGTAGCATGCCATCAACCGGTCTGCACAAACAAGCAAAGCCCCATCCGCGGGATGCAGGCAGCACACAAAACCACGCACCGTCCGGTTCGTGGAAAAACCTCTCCACGTAACCGATCCCTGGTGCCCAAAAGGTTGGGGACCTCTGCCTTAATGTAGCCCAGGCACTTCCAGTTTCCTTTATGGCTTTGTAAATCGCCCTGAGCTACAGGTAGCCCTCAACTTATACCCACAATGGAGCCCAAAACGTATGTGGCTAAGTGAGAAATTTGTTGAGTTTTGCCCCGTTTTATGATTTTTCTTGCCCCAGTTGTTTCTGTGAATCACTGCAGCTGCTAAATTAGTAACACGGTTGTAAAGGGAACCTGGTTTTTCTTGTTGATTTTGCGTGTCAGAAAGTCGCAGAAGGGGATCCTATGAACCCCCAGGACACTGCAACCACCAGTTCTCAAGCACCCGAATGTAAATCACGTGGCTGTGGAGATGCCGCGATGGTCATAAGTGTGAACGAGGTCATGTCACTTTTTTTCAGTGCCACCGTAACTTCAAACGGTCACTAAATAAACTGTTGTCAGTTGAGTACTCCCTGTACTCTTAGCATTGCATTCTTCTTTGTTGTAATTGCTACAATCCTGCACTGGCAGTTCTCTCTCTGTTATTCAGCTGTTTCTCAAGAAAGCAAAGAGGGGAGAAACATTAACCCTTAACGTTAAGAGCAAAGAAACAGCTGAGGAAAGCTCTCCTCTACTTTTAAGAACAACCCTCACTAACCTGGTGCTCTCCAAATACGGGGTGATTATGAACAGTCAGAATTTCCAAGAACTGCGCCGGCTAGGAGTTCTTGCCCCCCCATCCATCCATCTGAAGAGCGTTATGGTGGGGAAGCCTTCACTGAAATATCTTTTTTCAGTTGATGCAGGGCCCTTGAGACCTTGCGAACCCTCCCTTACCGCTTCATGAGGAGTTCCACATCAGCTGGGTCGGCTGTCTTCCGTCGAGCGTGAGTCACGTAGGCGTCCAGGTCATTGCTCAGATGCTTGAAATACACGTTCACGCTGGAAAAATGAAGCCTCAAGTCAGCTGGGAGAGTTACCGCACGGCTCCACCCCCCTCTCCTCCGAAGGCAGATTATAGTGCAAAACCCTCAAGAAAACCTGAAAAGTCTGGCCACAGATTTGTTTCTTGGCAAGAAACCCAGGCATGACCACAGAAAGAGGCAGCAGCACACATTTTTTTTATTTTCTCTTAGCTCGGTGCAGTTGGCAAACCTCTTTCTCCAAAGGGGATCGTGGTGACTCACCACCTCTCCACAACTTCCAAGGCTTCTTTGGTGACTGGCATCTTGACATAGTGGGTGAACATTTTTTTCACCAAGTTGTTGGGGAGGGACGGCTCCCGTTTTCTCCGGCAGGCTTTTTTAGCTGGCTTTGGATGCCGTTGGACCGAATCCTGTCTGACCGGCGACCTCCAAGAAAAATATTGAAAAGATGGTCTAAGCCAGGGGTCTTCGACCTTGGTCACTACGCGACTTGTGGACTTCAACTGGCTGAGGAATTCTGGGAGTTGAAGTCCACAAGTCATAAAGTGGGCAAGGTTGGGGACCTCTGGTCTAAGCAACTGAGTCTACTGCAAGAAGAAGAAACCAAGGACCTGTCAGGTGTTGCAGAAAGCCATCTCCCAGGTGGTCCCAGATGGCATGGCCAACGATCTGGGAGCCCACACATCTTAAACATGGCTCTAGTGCAGTGGTTCTCAACCATTTTAATGCCGCGACCCCCAACCGGTTGTAAGTCGAGGACTACTCAACTGGTGCAGCACCGTTTGCAGAATGGGACTTTCGGCGGGCTCAGCAGGACAGAGACAGCCTGGACAATTCCTATTGGCTTTTGAAAGTCAATAGAATTAGACTCAACTAATGGTGTTCAAGTGGAGCACCACTTGAACACCATTGGCATTGACAAATTCGCTATTAGTCAATTGCAAAAGGCAGCCTTACTAGGAACTGTTTCCATCCTGCGACGATATCTGTAATACCATCAAACATCCACATCTGCCTATCCCATGTCCTGGGTAAGGACTCGATAGGTAGACAAAATGCCAAATCCAGTCTGAACATCTGGCTGACTGTGCGATGATCCATAATAATAATAATAAAAGTTGGAGGTCATCTAGTCCAACCCTCTGCTCAGGCAGGAAACCCTACACCATTTCGGACAAATGGCTGTCCAGTTTCTTTTAAAAACTTCCAGTGTTGGAGCATTCGCTGCTTCTGGAGGCAGGTTGTTCCACTGGTTAATTGTTCTAACGGTCAGGAAGTTTCTCCTTAGTTCTAGGTTGCTCCTCTCCTTGATTAGTTCCATCCGTTGCTTCTTGTCCTGCCTTCAGGGGCTTTGGAGAATAGCTTGACTCCCTCTTCTTTGGGGCAGCCCCTGAGATATTGGAAGGCTGCTATCATATCCCCCACTCATCCTTCTCTTCGTTAGACTAGACATAGCCAATTCCAGCAACCGTTCCTTGTATGTTTTAGCCTCCAGTCCCCTGATCATTTTTGAATGGCTGTACAGGAGGGCCTGTAAACACACGGTGGTTGGGGGGGGGCTAGAGTTCTGTCTCCCTACAACCGCATACATACCCAGAAGCCGCCTCTTTCAGAACACGTGGGCTGGACAGCAATGGGGTACAGTGAAAAGCTTTAGCCCGAACAAAGGCCGGTGTTTTGCCAGTTGGTTCTGAGAGAGAAAGGAAGGTAGAATCTCATTATCACTTTCCCAAAGCACATGAAACTTCAACAGGCAGGAAACATAGCAATTGTTTATACCTTCTCTCTCTCTCTCTCTCTCTCTCTCTCTCTGTGTGTGTGTGTGTGTGTGTGTGTGTCCTCCATCTCGTTTACAGATAATCCCAAAGTTACTACAGGTAGTCCTCAATTTATGACTACAATTGAGCTCAAAACATGATGCTAAGTGAGACATTTTTTAAGGTGAATTTTGCCCCATTTTATGCCCTTTCTTGTCACCGTTGTTAAGGGAATCACTCCAGCTGTTAAGTTAGTAACCCAGTTGTTAAGTGAACCAGGCTTCCCCATTGAATTTGCTTGTCAGGAAGTTGCAAAAGGGGATCACGTGACCCCGGGGCACTGCGACCGTCATAAATATGAGTCAGTTGCCAAGAGTATACATTTTGATCACATGACCAGGGGGATGTTCAACAGATGTAGAGTGTGAAAAATGGTCACAAGGTCCCCCCCTTTTTAGTGCCATTGTCACCTCACTAAAGGGTCAGTAAACGAACGGTTGTAAGTCAAGGACTATCTGTAAAGGACTAGATTTTACAGGGTTCACATTAAAATCACTTTATTAAATCTAGAAAGAAGCCTTCTGGAGAAACCCAAATGATGTGAGGAATAATTTGAGAAGAAGCCAGGCTTTGGGAGAAGAATATACTTTCAGAAGACCAACCATGACTGCCTTAAAAGAATGAAGCTCTCAACGTATGGAACTGAAATTCAGGATAAGACTAATTTTTAATTGACCTTGAGTTCCCCCAGGATCAATTTCTTATATTAATCAGTTTGAAATGTATCTAATAAGCTACATTTGCTCCTGCTGAGCTTTAGCATTCTACAACTTACCAGCATCTTGCCATTCAGACTCATTTTTGTGTGAGATGATTATGATTAAGTAAATTAGCTTACCAATATTCTCAGATTCTGACATCTCCTCAACTTCTGGATTGTCTTCGTCTTCAAACTCCAGAATCTGTTCAGTTTCCACATTCCTCTTTTCTTTTGTTTTATTTCGACCACCTGTTTGTGGATTGGTTCTATCTCTCATTTCCTTAAATGGGGTCCTGTCCAGGCTCTTTGGGGTCTTCCCACTTGCACGTCTGTTTGGAGTTACCACTCTAGGACTTTGAGAGATCTCAATAGCTAAAGAGAAAAAAAAAGGAAGAAAAAAAGAAAAGAGAAAGATCTTCCGTCTCCTTCACAGATAATCCGAAAGTTACTAAAGGATTAATTTTATGGGATTCACATTAAAATCCCTTGCTTTATTAAATTTAGTAAGAAGGCTTCTGGGCAAACCCAAATAGTGAGGAATCCTTTGGGAGAGGACTATACTTTCTGAAGCCCAACTACGGCAGGCTTGAAAGGATGACGCTCTCAACATATGGACCTGACTCAGGATAGGATTAATTTCTAAATTGCCTTTGAAACCCCCCCCCCAGGATCAATTTCTTAAGTGAATCAGTTTGAAATGTATCTAATAAGCCAAGTTTGCTCTAGCTGTCCTTTAGTTACCAGCGTCTTGCTGTCCAGTCACTTTTATGTGAGATGGGCGGCTATACAAATATGATTAAGTAAAGTCAGCAGTGTGGGAGACAAACCAAAAAAAGCTAATACAATCCTTGGTTGCATAAACAAAAGCATATAATCAAAATCATGTGAAGTATTACTACTGCTTTATAAAGCCTTAGTAAGACCACACCTGGAATACTACTTCCAGTTTGGGTCACCACATTACAAAAAAGATGTTGAGACTTTGGAAAAAGAGCAGAGAAGAGCAATCAAGACGATTAAAGGTCTGGAGACTAAATGTATGGAGAATGGTTCCAAAAATTGGTATGGCTAGTACTGAGGAAAGAAGGATTTGGGGTGACATGATGCTTCAGCATCTCAAGGGCTGCCACAAAGAAGAGGGGCTCAACTTTTTTCCCAAAGCACCAGAAAGCAAGACAAGAAGCAACAGATGGAAACTAATTGAGGAGAGAAGCAACCTGGAATGAAGGAGAAACTTCCTAACAGTGAGAACAATTAACAAATGGAACAGCTTGCCACCAGAATTTCTGGGTGCTTCATCATTGGTGTTTTTTAAGAAAAGACTGGACAGCCACTTGTCTGAAACGGTATAGGGTCTTCTGCATGAGCAGCAGGTTGGACTAGAAGACCTCCAAGGTCCCTTCCAGTTCTGTTCTGATTAAATAAATAAATTAGTTTACCAATATCCTCAGATTCTGACATCTCCTCGACTTCTGGATTGTCTTCGTCTTCAAACTCCAGAATCTGTTCAGTTTCCACATTCCTCATTACTCTTGTTCTATTTCTACCACCTGTTTGTGGATTGGTTCTATCTCTCATTTCCTTAAATTGGGTCCTGTCCAGGCTCTTTGGGGTCTTCCCACTTGCGCGTCTGTTTGGAGTTACCACTCTAGGACTTTGAGAGATCTCAATAGCTAAAGAGAAAAAAGGAAGAAAAAAAGAAAAGAGAAAGATCTTCCGTCTCCTTCACAGATCATCCGAAAGTTACTAAAGGATTAATTTTATGGGATTCACATTAAAATCCCTGGCTTTATTAAATTTATCAGGAAGGCTTCTGGGCAAACCCAAATCATGTGGGGAATCCTTTGGGAGAGGACTATACTTTCTGAAGCCCAACTATGGCAGGCTTAAAAGGATGACGCTCTCAACATATGGACCTCATTCAGGATAGGATTTATTTCGAAATTGCCTTTGAAGCCCCCTCAGGATCAATTTCTTAAGTGAATCAGTTTGAAATGTATCTAATAAACCAAGTTTGCTCCAGTTGTCCTTTAGTTACCAGCGTCTTGCTGTCCAGTCACTTTTATGTGAGATGGGCGGCTATACAAATATGGTTAAGTAAAGTCAGCAGTGTGGGAGACAAACCAAAAAAAGCTAATACAATCCTTGGTTGCATAAACAAAGGCATATAATCAAAATCATGTGAAGTATTACTACTGCTTTATAAAGCCTTAGTAAGACCACACCTGGAATACTACTTCCAGTTTGGCTCACCACATTACAAAAAAGATGTTGAGACTTTGGAAAAAGAGCAGAGAAGAGCAATCAAGACGATTAAAGGTCTGGAGACTAAATGTATGGAGAATGGTTCCAAAAATTGGTATGGCTAGTACTGAGGAAAGAAGGACTCGGGGTGACATGATAACAGTGTTTCAGTATTTCAGGGGCTGCCACAAAGAAGAGGGACTCAACTTTTTTCCCGAAGCACGAGAAAGCAAGACAAGAAGCAACAGATGGAAACTAATTGAGGAGAGAAGCAACCTGGAATGAAGGAGAAACTTCCTAACAGTGAGAACAATTAACAAGTGGAACAGCTTGCCACCAGAAGTTCTGGGTGCTTCATCATTGGTGTTTTTTAAGAAAAGACTGGACAGCCACTTGTCTGAAACGGTATAGGGTCTTCTGCATGAGCAGCAGGTTGGACTAGAAGACCTCCAAGGTCCCTTCCAGTTCTGTTCTGATTAAATAAATAAATTAGCTTACCAATATCCTCAGATTCTGACATCTCCTCGACTTCTGGATTGTCTTCGTCTTCAAACTCCAGAATCTGTTCAGTTTCCACATTCCTCATTTCTTTTGTTCTATTTCGACCACCTGTTTGTGGATTGGTTCTATCTCTCATTTCCTTAAATGGGGTCCTGTCCAGGCTCTTTGGGGTCTTCCCACTTGCACGTCTGTTTGGAGTTACCACTCTAGGACTTTGAGAGATCTCAATAGCTAAAGAGAAAAAAGGAAGAAAAAAAGAAAAGAGAAAGATCTTCCATCTCCTTCACAGATAATCCGAAAGTTACTAAAGGATTAATTTTATGGGATTCACATTAAAATCCCTGGCTTTATTAAATTTAGCAAGAAGGCTTCTGGGCAAACCCAAATCATGTGGGGAATCCTTTGGGAGAGGACTATACTTTCTGAAGCCCAACTATGGCAGCTTAAAAGGATGACGCTCTCAACATATGGACCTGATCCAGGATAGGATTAATTTCTAAATTGCCTTTGAAGCCCCCTCAGAATCAATTTCTTAAGTGAATCAGTTTGAAATGTATCTAATAAGCCAAGTTTGCTCCAGCTGTCCTTTATTATTCTCCAAGTTATCAACGTCTTGCTGTCCAGTCGCTTTTATGTGAGATGGGCAGCTATACAAATAAAGTTAAATAAGTAAATGGGCTTACCAATGTCCTCAGATTCTGACATCTCCTCGACTTCTGGATTGTCTTCGGCTTCAAACTCCAGAATCTGTTCAGTGTCCACATTCCTCATTTCTCTTGTTCTATTTCGACCACCTGTTTGTGGGTTTGTTCTATCCTTAAATGGCATCCTCTCCAGGCTCCTTGGAGTCTTCCCACTTGCGCGTCTGTTTGGAGTTCTCACTCTAGGACTTTGAGAGATCTCAACAGCTAAAGAGAAAAAAAAGTTAGAAAAGAGAAAGGAGACACATTTAATCAATAGCTTTTAAAAACACAGTCTGCTGGCATGTGTCACTGAGTCTATTACTGTTTCGAGATCCTTTCCAAATATTCCACATTTCCTCTTTATTCACGTGTTAAAGGTTCATCTCAAAGTACCATGTGGCAGAAGCGAGCCAGGAGCTATTGCCTCTTTACCTTTTGTGCGCAACTCACCCCCCTGTTTCAGGTATTAGGGGACTGGGGGCTAAAACATACAAAGAACGGTTATTGGGTATGTCTAGTTTAATGAAAAGAAGGACTAGGGGGTGAAATGAAGGCAGTCTTCCAATATCTCAGGGGCTGCCCCAAAGAAGAGGGAGTCAAGCTATTTTCCAAAGCGCCTGAAGGCAGGACAGAAAGCAATGGATGGAAACTAATCAAGGAGAGAAGCAACCTGGAACTAAGGAGAAACTTCCTGACAGTTAGAACAATTAACCAGTGGAACAACCTGCCTCCAGAAGCGGTGGATGCTCCAACACTGGATGTTTTTAAGAGATTAGACAATTATTTGTCTGAAATGATACAGGGTTTCCTGCCTGAGCAGGGGTTGGACTAGATGACCTCCAAGGTCCCTTCCAACTCTGTGAATCTGTTATTGAGATATTGCTAGATGCTGCTCATTTCTCTTGAGTTCTCCATCACATTAAGTTATGGATTCTTTAACCTCCATAAAATTATACTTGTCTGGGTTCATATAACAATTCATAAGCTATTTTAGTATTCTGGGGAAGATAATGAAAAGCATTCAGAGGATGGATTTCCTAGGCTTTTGGAGGGAGTGATTTTTTTTTTTTTAAATCCATGTTTATTTTAAGGCTGAGGTGAAAATTTTGGAGTATTTCTCATCCTCCAAGTCACAAAACAAAGCCAACCTTCAGGAGCTTTCTTTAGAATTGCTCTGGAAATCACACCAAAAAAAGGAAAAGACTGAATTCACACAATACATGAAACCAAAACCAAATGATTATATAGCTTAGGGCAAGGCGTCACTTCAGCCCCAAGTCAGAGCTCTAAATTCAGTATTATCTACGCTGACTGTCACTCCCCTGTGATTGAGACAGGATTCTTTCCCTGATCTAACTGGATCAACCTCATCAACAGAATCACAGAAATATCGGAAAAATACGGCTTGAAGCTTAACACCTCAAAAAAACCAAGATCATGGTCATCAGCAAACAACCCGTTAATTTACCACCAATAAATTCAGAAGGAATACCATTAGAAAAAGTTGAAAGGATCACGCACCTCGGTTCTAATTTACATGAAAGCGGGGACATGACCACTGAGGTAAAGACAAGGATAGAGAAAGCTCGAACAGCATTCTTCAAAATGAAAAAGGTCTTCTGCAGTCACGACATAAGCCTAAGACTGAAAATCAGACTTGTCAGATGCTCTATTTTTTCTATCCTGCTCTATGGAGTAGAGAGTTGGTCTCTGACAGAAGGCCACCTGAAGAGACCAGAAGCATTTGAAATGTGGATTTATAGGCGGCTGTTACGTATAATCTGGGTTGACAAGATCAGAAATGAGGAGGTGATCAGCCGCCTGGGAAAGCCCAGGAAAATCATCAAAACAATTAAAAAACGAAAATTAGAATATTTCGGACATGTGATGCGACACCCAGAAAAACACGGCATACTCCATTTAATCCTCCAGGGAAAGATTGAAGGCAAACGAGGTCCAGGCAGAAGAAAAACATCGTGGCTTCAAAATCTAAGGGACTGGTTTGGACAAAACTCAGCAGCACTTTTTCGTGCGGCTGCTGATAAAAACAGGATCGCCAACATGATCGCCAATGTCCGATAACGGATATGGCACAAGAAGAAGAAGAAGAACTGGAGATGATGGGAGCTGAACCTGGGTTCTGCACGTGTAATGATTAAGCGGAGGCTCCTAATTAATTACATGTTTCAAGGCAATTTATTCAGAGTGGCACAAGATGGTGTACCTCCATTCGCAGCATTTTTTCCACATAATTCTTGCAAAAGCTTCCACACATCTACTGGCTAACTACCGGCCACATACACTTACTTTTTTCACGAAGGGAAGATCCTTTCTCCAGGTCAACCTTGGCCAGACCCCGTCCTGCAACTCCTGGGAGAAGGTTATCCAACTCCTGGGTGAAGTGTGCCACCAACTCATTCACTGAACGCCTGGCAATTTTTCTACTCAGCCAAGTTGAGAAACTGCTTCTTGCACCCAGGCCTAGATTGGCAAAATTAAGAAACAGTCACAAATATTAAATGTAAAATAATAATAATAATAAAATACTGAAAGGCATTTTTGAAGGTTACACTAGTACCTTATTCTGGATCCACTCCGGGCATTTTTACAATTTTTGGAGGCAAGAGACGCTTCCAAGTCCCCAAGATGCTTTTTCAAAAGGCAACTGGACTTTGTTTCTCCTTGAAGACGCTCGGCTTCTCACCCAAGAAGCTTCTTCAGTCTTGACTCAAAACTGAAGAAGCTTCTTGGATGAGAAGCGCAACGCCTTCCAGGAAAAACAAAGGAAGTCCAGTTGCCTTTTGAAAAAGCACCTGTGGGACAGCCATGACCTGGGATGACTGAGAACCTCCATAGACAAAAGCTTCTGAGACATCTGCCAACGTGGAGAGAGAAATAATAGCAAAGCATAGATCAGAGTTCCCCAATCTTTCCAGCTTTGCGGACCCAGGTGGGTGGGTGGGGCGAGGGGTTGGTTCCGCACTCACGGCGGGAAGCATGTGAGCTCGCAGCTCCACTTGCACCAACAGCGTGCCTACATGCCTGCCGCTCATGCAAATGGAGCATGCAGGCATGTGCTTGCCTGCTGCTCGTGCAAGTCAGGATGCCCGTGTGCACCCACCCGCTCCTTCCACGGCCCGGTTCCGAACAGCCCACAGCCCGGCAATGGGCCGTGGTCCGGAGGTTGAGGACCCCTGGCAAAGAGTGATATATGAAGGTATTTTTTCCCCCTTCAGCCCAGCAACTAACATACCAATCTTCAAAGGCTGTTTGTGAGTGGAGGGTTCCTCATCAGGACTGTTTCCATGAAAATTCTTTTGCTGTTGCCTTTGAGGTGTGACTCTTCTTTTCTGGGAAATGCTTTCTGTGCTGCTGGCATCTTCAGATCCTGGACTTAAGTTCTCTTTTCCCAGACTGAGTCTCAATCCTTTTCCTGCACCCTCTGGGCTCTCTTGGCACCTTCTTTTGGAACGATCGTCCTTTTCTTCCGTGCATTCGGTTTCTGCTTCAACCGTACGTTCGCTTCCTGGCGCCAGGATTTCCTTTGGGATGCTTTCGGCCACTTTTTCAACTTCCATGTCAGATGTTTCGTCCTGTCTGGCTAACCGTGTTTGGCTAAGAGATGGCGCCCTCCCATCACCTAAAGATTGCCTCGCCAAATCCGGTTCTGGTGGAACATTAGACGGCTCCGTGTCATTCTCCTCACTGGAATGAGGTGGGAGAAAGACTTCTGTCTCCACCGACTGAGCCTCTGTGTTGTTGGATTGGAGCGTTGTCATTTTCTGGTCTTCAGGATAGTTTTCTGCTGCTGGCAACAATTTAAACCAAAGTTAGCCGTTCAGATGGAAATATAACTTTGATTTCATTATTTTTTTTTTTTTTTGCTTCTCGATACCATCCCAGGTTCAGTTGATTCTGTCTCCAGAAGAGATTGTAACCCATTCTCACCTCTCAGTTCCCAGGCGGTGCTCTAACAGACACACCAAAACAAAAACACCCCAAATCGGACTCACAATCTTTGATCTGCAGCAAGCCTTGTTCAAGACCCCCTTCAAAATCCTTCACATTAACTCCTCGGTAGTGTTTGGGCCTACGCATCAAGCCTTTTTTCCCAGCAGAGTTCAATGGTGCTGGAGTTGTAAAAGAGATCTGAAGAGACCTGAGAACAGAACAGCAGACAGCGCTAGCACTTATGACTTATATACCGCTTCAGAGTGCTTTTACAGCTGTCTCTAAGCAGTTTATAGAGTCAGCCTGTTGCCCCCCAATAATCTTGGTCCTCATTTTACCGACTTCGGAAGGATGGGAGGCTGAGTCAACCTTGAGCTGCTCAAGATCGAACTGCTGGCAGTGGGCAGAGTCAGCCTGCAATACCGCATTCTCACCACTGTGCCACCATGGCTCAGATCAGATCCAGTCCATGTAGCAGTGGTTGGATCTTCCTGGATATTAAGATCTTCCAGAGCAGAACTTCTGAAGGTAACCCTTTTCTGAGATCCATTTAGCCAGGATAAAACCATTTCCTGCATCATTCTCAGCCTACAGATTGCAATCCTCCCGGGAACTGCATTTGGTCCTCATTGTCCCTGCCTTTGGAAAATCAGCTGAGTTGCATCGCTTTAGATGGGCTTTTAAAGGATGCCAATATGAATACAGGTAGTCCTCGACTTACAACAGTTCATTTAGTGACCGTTCAAAGTTACAACGGCACTGAAAAAGGTGACTTATGGCCATTTTCCACCCTTACGACCTTTACAGCATCCCCGGGGTCACGTGATTTACATTCGAATGCTTGGCAACAGGTTCGTATTTATGACAGCTGCAGTGTCCTGAGCCCATATGATCCCTTTTTGTGACCTTTTGACAATCGGCTTACTAACTTATCAACTGCTCCAGTTCACTTAACAGCTGTGGGTTGAAAGGCCGTAAAATGGGGCAAAACTCAACAGAAATTTGGGGCTCAACTGTGCTCATACGTCGAGGGCTACCTATACTTGTCAGCTTAATGCTATTGCAAATACTTTCTTATGTATTTAATTGATAGCAGTAAAAGTTTAACCGAGCAGGATGGCAAAATATAAATAGAACCCATGAATGAAATATAATAAACGTCAATAATATCCAATAGGTAAATCATAACCAACAACTGGAACAAAATCATCTGTGCCTACAGCTGCTTTGCAACATATAGAAAGCTCAATGCTACACAGTAGCCCACCAACGTCTACCCGGCCATAACAGAAGAATATGCTAAATTTAAGCCTTGTTTGACTAGGGCAGGGATAGGCAACCTTGGCTCTTTTATGACTCGTGCACTTCAACTCCCAGAATTCCTGAGCCAGCTATTGCCTACCCCTGGACTAGGGAAAGTGGAAACATGGCACATGGGCCTAAGACTCTCCACTCTTTGTACTGACTGAGGCACTATCACAGAAAAACAAGTATTTTCACAATTTCTGCCATCCTGACATGTCAGCCCCATCTGCTAAGCATCTAGAGGCAAAGGAAGCAACAATAGTTTGAGTGCAACCAAAAAAAAAAAAAATTGCAACCTACTTTGTCAAAGATGTGTGGTCCAGCAAACCCTGATCTGCAAAGGGAGATTAAGATATATTAGATGGGCTGCTTATATGCGGAAGTCTTACTACTGAAATATGAATTAATGAATAAGTTGAGCTAGTCATTAGAAGTCAATGAAATCACTGTCCAAAGTAAGATAAATAACTTAATTGTATTTATTGCCACGCCCAGGATTTTTTGTTAACTTCAAGTCACTGTTCTACTTTAGGGGACCTGAGAATAACTTGGATCTGCTTTAATCTGAGCAATGTCACTGCAGCATTCTTCAACATTATAGAGAAATTAAACACGGGAATCAGCAGTAATACCCAGGAGAATATACAGTAATAAATATGTTTACTGCCTATCCTATTTCACAGGCCAGGCATGTCCTCTTCCTTGGAATACATTAACTGGCCATAATATAGACATTATTATCTCTTATTTCTTCTGACCATTATCTGATCTCCATAAAGAAGAGTGCTGTGATCCAGGCTAACAAATCCTTAGGTAATTTTCTTAACACTTTAACCTGACTTATAGGATGTCAGAAACATAGGATCAACTATTTCCTTTATTTCTTTAAGCGAAACATTTTTTAAAAAAACATCCCAAACTTGATCAGATTAGCCTACACACTTACCTGTGCTGGAGTGAAGCTGGTTATTCAGACCTCTTTCAAATACGGAGAGACGGACCTTTTTCGATCTCGTAGGATGCCGTGTAATCTTAGACTTCTGCCTCTGAGAGAGGTCTGACAGGCTGACTTCCAGACTGCTAAAGGTTGACAAGACAGAGCTAGCAGAATACTGTTCTCAAAGAAACAAGCCTTCATAGTGCTTAAATCAAAATCTAAACAATTCTAGGTGCATCGAAAGTATATATACTCTGCATCAATATGTCTGTTTCATTTTTAATCCATGCTGAGCATGACAGAATAGCTACGGCAATACTTCCCTTGGTTAGGTAATAGGGAAAATAGATTATTCAATGAGGACCAAAATAAGGAGTTATTATTCAGAAGTGGTACGTAACTGCCAGTAAGTGAGTCCACGTACTATGTAAAGATGTGATTTGACTGATTTGCAGTGGATGCCAAATGCATACAAAAAAAAAAATATCTAATCAGATTTTAGCCATATAAGTTCTCAGAACTCACAAAAGTAGACCATTAAAAGTATCACAATATTTTTATTAACAATTTAATCGATAACATCTATTAATTTAATAATAACACAAGTAATAAACTAATACATTATTAATTCCTTGCTTGAATGCATTTCAGTATCAGCCATTTCTTGGCTGATTCCAAGAGAAACAGAAATATTTTTATTTAAGACTTGGTTTGGTGGCTTTAAAATGTCTGCTTTTAAGGTCCATGCCCATTGCAGAGAAACAAAGATTTCACTGTTTTTTTGTTTTGCCTTTTTGGGTGCTGCAATTTTACATTACGATCCTAAGTGTGTTACTCAGAACACTCAAAAAATAGCTGAAGGTTTGTAGCCTTTATTGTAGTCAATGCAAAACACAAAGGAACCACTTACATGGAAGAATCAGTCTTCTCAGGAAAATGGAAAAATGTATCAATTGGTTTTGGAGAATCAGGTTTCTCAGAAACAAAAGGGGAAACAATTGGCTCTGTGGAAAAAAACAAACAGTGAACATTATTTCAGCAAGAGCTGAATTCAAAAGTGCTTCAAAACCATGGCTGTCACTGCCCTGTGAGTTCTCATATCGTTCATCCTTTCACCTTCTGAAGTACATCCTAGACTGTTCCTTTCATTTGGCATAACACAAAGATACAACTGACTCTGGGTGGGGAGAGTTTACTAGCCATCCTTCTGGATGTGGAACATATTGTAGCTAATAAACAGTGTGCAAGTTAAGATGGTGAACATTCAAAATGCAGATTATCCTTTCAAAATTTTAAACTTGTCACTGAAGTATTTCATTTTTTATTATATGTTTGTTGTTTCATGTTTCTGGGTCTTTGTTGTTGTGAGTAGCCTGTAATTAGCAATGACTCTGTTTTATCTGTGATTCTGTACTTCTCCAATGTAACACGACCTGAAATGTTGCTCTCCCCCACCCATACTTACGTGTCTGTAGGACCTTCTTAAAAACGGTTCGAGGTGTTGCAAAATCCATCAATGCAGAGGTGGTAGGTGCCTGGTAAGCCACAGATCTTTGATGATTGAAGGGTACAGCCTGAAATAAAAAGAGCCCAAAGACGGTGATTGCAATTGTAAAAGACAAGTGGCAATGAGGCACTCCACTAATTCAATACCAGAATTCATGAATACAAACAATTAAGCAAGGATATCACCTCTTATTCTGCTTATTATATAAAAGTTAGGCTGAATAAGGCTGTATTTTGTGGAGATTTATATTGTCATGTAATATAAAGCCATGTAATACATCTTATAGTTTATGTGTTTCTTTTTCTTCACTCTACACGCTAAAACAATGGCTGCATGTTATTTTAGCCTATTCTAGTACATCATACAATGTAAGTCATTTTCCCTAAAGGAAAGCTTAGGAGTTCTCTCTTAAACAACTATGCCTGGGTCTATTGTTCCTTGACAATGTCTTTCAAGAAAGCACAAGGGAGGGAAAAAAATCAATGAAGTAAGGTGGGAAACAATTCTTGTCTTTACTCTGGAAACATACAAGGAGACTGTTGCCCATAAATAGTCAAATCTCAGATTCTCAGGCTTACTCAGATGGATGGAGAGGTTTATTCCTGCATTTCAGAACTAAGTGGGAGAAGGCTCACCCCCATAACTACAGTGACCATATGCCCTCTATTATAAAGGATAGCCCTTTATTTCAAAAACCTGTCATTCAGATTCATTTTTTTACTTGCTTTTGCTCTTGAACTTTCCTTTGTAAAGCAGTTTGTAAACATAAACAATTAGGGTTTCCCCCCCCCCCGTTCTTGTGAGCGTTTCCCCCCCAGATTTGCCCCTTTTTTTCAGGCTGGACCTTCGTTTTTTCCAAGAAAAGAGGCTCACGGTAGATACAATCCTTCTGGAGTCTAGCAAGCAGGGCCATGTTGGGAATGAGAACGGTAGTCCAAGACAGGTGGGAGAGGGAGGAGGGCTGGGGATGATAGGAACTGGAGTCCTCCCCACCCCACCCATATTGAAAGAAGACTGCTTATGGCACGTTGAGGCGGGAAAGCAACGCTTCTCTGGTCGGGTTGCCGGGAGAAGGGGATGCCGCCGCCGCCCAAGCCTTCTAGTCCCCGCACCTTCTGGCTAGCCAACCGCAGCGACTTCCTGCGCTCTTGCGGTTCCCTCTCCGGCTGTTTTCGCAGGCTCCATCGGCTGGCCATGGCTCGCCCGCCGAGACCGTTACGAGACAGGCACGAGCCGGCAGGCGCTCTGCGAAGTCCTCTCCCGCGTCGGGATTCAAGCAGACACCGCTGCCCAGCAACTCTCGCGAGAACGCTCCAGCCTCCCTGCCTCGCACGGGCCGCCGGGAGATGGAGTTCCGGATAGAGCCCGCCCGGAAACGTTGGACTGCTAACTGGACGTGGGTTGGTTTCCATTCGTAACGTGTTTGTTTCTCCACGAAAGCGCGGGGATTTGCGTCGCAGGGTGGGATCGAGTTCGGGAAGGCTGTTCTGCCGCCTCTGGGATAAGGAGACCAGGGGTCCTTGGAAAGAAGAAGAAAAAGAAGAAAGCTGGCTTGCATCTTTTTTCAGTAGGAGGAGATGCTAGCATCCAATGATCCCGCAGTAACGTACTTTTCTGTGCAATCTTGAAAAGGTTCGGGATTCCAGTTCTCAGTTGCATCCTTGTCCAGCTGGACAAATAATTCTGCATACTCCAACATTGAATAAAGGGACCCTCTTCTGTCAGTTCCGAACATAGCTATGCCAGCTAGAAATATGGCAGTTCCACTCCAACCGATTTTTGAAGGCAGCAGATTGAAGGCTAGTTGGGAGGCTGGATTCACACAATATGCTAACTCAAAACCAAACAAATTAAACAGTAAACAAATACACCACTTTGGAATCTAGAGGACTTGGTAATGGACCAGAAACTATAGAGATCTGGTAGCTTATTGTTTATTAACTCAGATACTAATCGATTTAGCCCAGCATTAATACAAACCCTATCAAAGGCAACAACAATAATTTTATATTACTTAAGTCAGCAGTGTGCAATCTGCTGTGACAGAACTTGAAGGCAAGCATTCTCGGCTGGAATTCTCCATTGGAAGGCCTTCCCGTGAAATATAAGATCTGCACTCTTGATTTTAATTTTTTTTTTAAAAAAAACTTTAAAACAGGACTGTTCTGAAATGACTGGGGATTAATAGATGAGTCAGCAAAGTAATTAAATACTTAGTAAATTTTCTTGCTGAGTGAATATACTCAATGTTATGCTTTTATGCTCGTAAATACAGTCTGATTGTATTTTTGTTTATGATTGTGTATTTATATATTGCTGCTTTTGAGCTAAGCGTGGTTAATGCCTGAGTTAAAACCTAGTTAATTAAATAGATAGAAATATTGAACACTGGGGGGAAAGCCACTGAGTAATAACTGGAGAATTTCATGAAATTGTAGATAATCATTATTCAAGATCATTAATTAGTAATGGAAGTGGCTTTTAGAGGGCATTAAAAATAGCTAGAGAGCCAGTCTGATGAAGTGCTTAAGCACCAGGCTAGAAACCAGAGACTGTAAGTTCTAGTCCGGCTTTAGGCTGGGTGACCTTGGGCCAGTCACTATCTCTTAGCCTTAGGAAACAGGCAATGGCAAACCACATCCAAAATCTTGTCAAAACAACTGCAAAGACCTATCTAGACAATCACCAGAAGTCAACACTGACTCAAAGTTGCATTCTCCCATAAAGTTATTAAACTCACTAAATATTATTAAAAGCAAATTAATAAAAAAAATTTTCTTGGAAAAGCTGTCCTCTCAATATTAGAATATTAGAAAAGTCATGTCATGCTATGCCTTCAATTTGTTCTGAAGAAGCTTCTTGGATGAGAAGCGAAATGTTTTCAAAGAAAAAAAAAACCAAGAAAGTCCAATTGCCCTTTGGAAAAAGCACCTTTGCGATCTCTAATTGAAGAAAAAAGATATCCATGCTGCTTCCTGGTGATGTTGTGATATTTATAAAAGAAATTTAAAAGGTATTTTTGTTCTCATTTAGAACTTTAGAAACCCACAAAAATGATGCTCAGATACTGTTTCTAAGTGATGTAGCAACATCAGAGGCCAACGCATGTCAGCAGCAACATTGTCTTTTATTTAAAACGATGCTTGCTTTGCATTTATTTGATTCTTCGGAAGTGGGGTGGACTTCAGGTGGGCAGATCCCACAAGGCCGACCAACTGGTCCTCAGGGAACCACGTAGCAGCTTATGGATGCTGCTGCTGCGGCTAATAAAGGGTTGCCGTGGCAACGAGGAAAACGAACGCCGCTGTCCCGGCAACCGTGTTCCATGCAGCGAGAGGCGAACTGAACGTCTATGGAAGCAGAGCCCGTTGCATTGTGGGAAACGTAGTTTCTTTTCCTGTTTTGTTTCCACAATTCATAGGCCGTTCGTCGGCAGAGTTCCCGCGCTTTCCTAGATGAGGCATTATCCCGCACGCACCAAACGAGAGAAAGAAACAACCATTCCGACCAGCGCCTCCAAGAGAAAAACGAGGAAGAGCGGGTGAAAAATAAGAACGAACAGACTTAGGAACGTCAAGCTTTAAGAAAAAGGCATAATAAAGCCAGAGGATTGTGGGAAGGCGGCCTCTCGCGATGGCGCCTGGGACGCGTAGTTCCAAGCTCCCTCCTGCCCCGCCCCCTCCCGGAGGAAACCCGCGCTTTTCCAAGCCTGGGCTCGCGGTGCCCGGTGGGAAAGAGAGTTCCGGTCTCGCCGCGGTGCTTTGTGGGGCGGGTAGTTCCGTTTCCTGTGGCGCTCTCGGGGAGGGCAGGCTGCCGCTGTGGCGTCGGCGCCGGAGAAGGAGCTGCAGCCGCCGCCTTCTGGGACTCGCAATCGGGAGGCCTTGTGGGATCTGTAGTCCCGCCGCCTCGGGCCCGCCGGGGGAAGGAGGAGGAGGCGGCGGCGGCGGAGGAGGAGGAGGAGGCAGGCACCCCGCGCAGACCATGCCCGGGTTCACGTGCTGCGTGCCAGGCTGCTACAACAACTCGCACCGGGACAAGGCGCTCCACTTCTACACCTTCCCGAAGGACGCGGAGCTGCGCCGCCTCTGGCTGAAGAACGTGTCCCGCGCCGGCGTCAGCGGCTGCTTCAGCACTTTCCAGCCCACCACGGGCCACCGCGTCTGCTCCGAGCACTTCCCCGGCGGGCGCAAGTCCTACCTGGTGCGCGTCCCCACCATCTTCCCCTTGCGGGGCGTCAACGAGCGCAAAGGGGCGCGCGGCGGGCGGAGACCCCGCCACGCCCCCGCCCAGGCGGCCGCCCATGCCGCCGCCGCTGCCCAGGTGGCCGCCCAAGCCGCCGCGCAAGCCGCGATGCTGCTGACTTTGCAAGAGGGGGCGGCCGGCCAGGCGGGCCAGGGCCTCCTCCGGGCGGCGGCGGCGGGGGGAGGAGGAGGAGGGGGCGTCGGGCCCGACGGCCTCCCCGGGGAGGACGTCAAGCCCATGGACCTGACGGTGCAGATGGAACTGGGGGGTCCCGGCGCCCTCATGGGGCCCCCGGTCCACCTGGCCTTCCTGGCCGACAACGGGCCGCTGCTGGACGTCCCGCCGGACCATTCCTACTCGCTGTCGTCGGGCACCACGTCGGACGAGCTGCTGCGCAAGCTGAACGAGCAGCGGGACATCATCGCCCTGCTGGAAGTCAAGATGAAGGAGATGAAGGGCAGCATCCGGCGCCTCCGCCTGGCCGAGTCCCAGCTGCGGGAGGAGATCCGGGAGAAGGACCGCTTGCTGCACGCCGCCAGCTTGGCTGGGGGGGCCCGCAAGCGCCACGGCCTCTGAAAGACGACCCTGCGGAGGGGGATCTTGGAAGGGGACGGGGGTGTGCAACTCTTGCATCCGGGCAACAAAGACTTGCATTGGAGGGAGAAAAGACAAATGATGCTCCAGGCAGCTGCCCAAATGACCTTTTTCGCCCTGGTTAGGCAGCGCTACCCTGCCACGGGGGAGTGACCAGTTCTGAGCCCCTGGTTCTCTGCTTCCGAAGCCCAGGCTCCTTTGTGGCCCGGATTTAATCCGCGGGACCTAAAGACAGTCCTTAACATTTATCCCACCGAGACTCCGCTGCAATACTTTTAAAAAGATGGCCTGGGATTCTGGTCGTTCTGGCTGATGCTCCTTGCATTACATATACTGTTCTGAGCGTCGTGGCAAGTCCACGGCTGCTGTGGTACTCTGGGTGATGCCGGCTCGGTTGGAACCTTTTTAGCATTCATTGCCCTCGTGAAGCTAGACTGTTAGCGTCTGCCACCTGCAGCCAAACCACATGTTGTGTACAAAGCTAATTTTGAGGAAAGAATCAGTTGCTTTCTAGACAGGCGCACTCGGGTTGTTAACCGTTGTAACCGTTCGTACCGGAGTCAATGAAGGCGGCCAGGGCACTGTGTCACAGCGTTGTACCGGGATTGTTTTGCGGAAAATGTCATGTGAAAAATCACAGCCATCAGTGCATTTATCTTTCCTTTTTATGAAAGGGAGTTGTAGGCAATTCTCTCTCTGCCCGCCCCCCCCCCCAGAACCTTTTGATGCAGAGTGTGCCATTTCTATTGTCAAAACGAATCCTTAATATTTAAAGAGGATATCAGGAGGATGTTGTTTGTTATCTCCATATTGCCATTGGAGTTAGTTTTTGCTTCTGTTTCTCTTTCAGCTGACAAAGGTATTGTGGCTCTTCTGTCATTTCACGAATCCGTGTCCTTCTGGGCATGCAAACATTGCTTGTTTGAGTTTCCAACAAATGTATTTTCCTCTTGGAAAACCAGTGGGGAGCAGTAGCCTTCCTTTATATTTTTCTGGGGTTTAGTCTCCTTAGCATAAGAGCAATGAGGTTAACCTCCCATACTTTCTTCTGAATCCACTATATTTCTTCAAGTCTTGAAGAAAGTGCCATGCGAATAGATTGAAAACTGAACTTGAGAGGAATGGGTGCGGAGTTCAAGTCCTAAGCAGTTTTTCCACCCTGACATTCTCCCGATGCATTAAAACTACAACTCTTATAAAACTCTAATCATAACATCATATAGTGATTTGGTTGTAGCCTGATACAACTTTATTTGGGGAAGTCAGTGCTTAACTTATATCTCTGTAAAACTGTTGCCATTTGTCTTAAAAGATGTGTGAGGCGGAAGAAGGACTTAACTTTTGTCACAAAAGGATATTAATTTTTCTGCATCCACCCACCTAGATACATAGTGCCTCCCTTTGGAATTTATTTCAAATACGTACCATAATACATTGTTTTGTCAGCTCTTTAGGAGATATCAAACTGTTGGTTAAATTAAAAGGAAGGAAACAGTAAAACATTAGGTGAGGTTGTGTTTTCCTAAGTTGTCATTTTTTCGTATCATCTTATTAATAAGCACACTGACTTTTGCATTTCCAGGCGTGTTTATTTCGTTGGAGCTGCTGTGACCTGATGACATTGATGAGGAACAGAATGGCCAGCTGTCCAATTTTTTTTAAAAAAATTGGTTATAGTATTTTTTTTCCAGCATCAATATGAATAGGAACCACAGTCATATATATTGGTTATATATGTTGTACACATCCACAATTAAAGTTAAATTTTAAAGCTTGAAAACATACTATGATGAAAGTATATGTTTAATGTGATTATTCTTTCTCCCTATTATACTACGCCATAAGATTCACCCAGTTCTTTCGTTCTTCTGCAATTGGTGTAAGTGACTGTATAGGATATGACAGTAGAAATTTAGGATTTACATTCATTGGATTGTACAAACTCTCAGCTGTAGTCATTGAGAACTCTTATCCAGTCCTTGTGAGTAGAAGTTCCAAGAACAATGTCCATTTTTTGCTATTATTTTGGATTTAAATACTAACTCCAAATTTAGCAAATTTCAGTGCTGCCCTATACTTCGGATGCAGAATACCTTTGCTATTGAGTTTTGCATTTAGGTCAGGTTTGAGCACACACCTTTTTGATTTGCTCATATTCACCTTTTAGGATCCTGGGCAATACATTGGTTTTCTCTCTGTAAATAAATGCCTGTGCATTCTAGCTGGCTGAGAGTGTTTTGAAGGTGTGTGTTGTGACCAATGTGGTACTTTTCTACCATCATTATGCACTAAAACATGTTCAGTTGATTGGACTGCTGAACTGGTTATCTATGTTGGACTGTTCTATTTTCCTGGTTATCCTGAGGTGCTAACAAATACGCTTAATTTGAATAAAATCTATTTTGTTTTGTTATGTTGTAGTGTACAATTTGTCCATGGAGCCCAGAAAATGTTATCCCAGTTTTTTTTCCATGACAATCTCATGCATAATTAAGCCAGTTTAACATTTTAATTTTAATTTAACTTCGCAATAATAGTAAAGTTATTGCCCATGTTTTTTTACCATGGTATATTGCCTGCCAGTTCAATATATAAAGTCTACATTCAAACAATAAAGGCACAAATCATGTTTCAGAAAACACAATTGCTAAATCAAAACTGGAAAACTCTTTGTCTTTTAAGGCATGATGTAGTTCGTTTTGGCTAGTTCTGTGAATACGGTGGTGCTTTAAAGCGTTTTAGTACTTTTTTTTTCCTTTGATGTAAGTGAAGAAAGCAATGCAAACAGATATGTATTTGGATATCTTTTATATTTAAAAGGTAGAGGATCAATTCTTGTTTGATTCAGCAATCAAAGAGACATATGACCATACATAAGAATGTATTACCTTCTGAAAACTGTAACCCGTGCAATTGCCATGTTTCAACATCAGCCTTTTCTTACCCTTTTTTGCATCATAAAGATACTCACTGTGGAGACTGTTCACATTCCGTTCTTGCTCATTTAACAAGCCCTGCCTTTCTCAATCCTAATTTTTCAGGTTTATGAAGCCTGCTAATCACACAATGGCTAAAGATGACGAATCTGTGCTACAGGATCATCTGTGGAACTAGATCAATTTTGTTCCAATCCTTTTCCAGCGCAGAAATATTCATAGCTGTGGTGGCCTTCTAGATAAGGGGTCTGCAACCTTGACAACATTTAAGACTTGTGGACTTGGGCTCCCAGAATTCCTCAGCCAGGCATGCTGGCTGAGTAATTCTGTGAGTTGAAGTCCACAAGTTATAAAAGGACCAGGTTTGAAGACCCCCATGGGCAGCAAATGTTCTTTCCCCAAATACTGGCTACCTTCTAGACCTTTGTTTCAGAACACAGGTCTACAATACAAGTAGTCCACAACTTAACAATAATTCATTACAATGGCACTGAAAAAAGTGATTTATGACTGTTTTTTGTAGTTATGACCTTTGCACCTTCTCCATGAACATGTGATGGTCCAAATTCAGACGCTTGGCAACAGGCTCCTATTATGACGGCCACAGTGTCCCAAGGTTCACGTGATCCCCTTTTGCAACCGTCTGACAAGTCAATGAAGCCAGATTCACTTAACCGGGTGACTAACTTACCAACTGCAGTGATTTCATGTTAACAACTGAGGCAAGAGAGGTAAAACGGGGCAAAACTCACTTATCAAATGTCTCCCTCAGCCACAGAAATGCAATACGCAGTTGTGGTCATAAGCCGAGGACTACCCATAAGTGGTGGAGCTGAAGTAAAGAGCTGGCATGTCGTGTTTGCTAGGGGTGTCTTTTCAAACTTGGCCCTTTTATGACTTGTGGACTTCAACTCCCAGAATTCCTCAGCCAGGCACGCTGGCTGAGGAATTCTGGGAGTTGAAGTCCACAAGTCATAAAAGGGCCAAGTTGGAAGACCCCCTGGAGTTTGCTCTCACGGGCAGCAAATGTTCTTTCCCCAAATACTTGCTGCCTTTACAACGGATCATTCCAAGCCGGACCTCCTCGGAGCCAGCCAAGCACCCTCCTATCGAGTCGGGCTCCCAATTCTAATCAGGCCGAAGATGAAACAATCCGTCAACCCAACCCCTTCCTAAGCAGCCCCTTCGGGTCGGGCGCCTCCCCGCGCGGTGCTTGCTGGGAGCTGTAGTGCCCGCCTTTTGTCCGCCGAAGGCTGCACGGCAAGCGAGCGCGAAGAAACTCGCCTTCCCAGCAGCCCGGGGAATGGAGTCGCGCGCCCGCCCGACAGATAGACAGACAGACTGACAAACAGCCGGGGGGCGTGACCGGAAGAGGCGGGCCGGCGGGCGAAGCGGCGAGAGAGACAGTGAGGCTGCGCTCGGGGGCTTCGGGCTCCGCTCGCCGCCGCCGCCGCCGCCATCGCCCTCAGCCTGGTAAGGAGCTGCAGCGCGGGGGCCGCGGGGCGCCTGAGGCGGGCGGGGAGGCCGACCGGAAAGCCCAGCCGCGGAGGAGGCGACCCGCTTTGCAGAGGCTCAGGCCGCGGGCCTGCGCTTGGGCGCTGCCCCCTCTTCCCCAGCCTCGCTCGGGAGAGGGAAGGGCCGGGAAAGGGCGTGTCGGGGCGCCGCAGCCTTTCGGCGCCTCCCCGCCTCCAGAGGCTCTTTCAATCCGGGGCGCCTCTTCTCCTTCCCCGCCCTCTGCCTGAGACCTTTCTCCCCCCCCCTCCCCTCCGGCGTGCGCGGGAAATGCACGTGTGAACGGGCCAGGTCCGCGCCCCGGTGGTCCTGGGCGGCCACGTGCTTTGCGGGTTCCTCCTGGAGGCGCGCAATTTGAAAGTCTTCCGGGCTGGGCTGGAAATTACTTCCTCCCCCCTCCTTTTTTTTTGCGGCCGCTGCTTTTGAGGATTCAGGATGGGGCAATTGGGCAGAGTGAGAAGCCACCCCCTCCAGTCCTCCTCCGGTTATCCCTTTAAAAAGATACTAATAATAATAGTAACGATCTTTCAAAGGGAATGGCTGGTGTTAATTGTGCACGTGGTGTACGGGTGCCGCGTGCTATCGATCCCCGGGTGGATCAGCCTGCTTCTCGGCAAAGCAATTCCCTTTTCTTTTTTTTTAGACGTAGAATTGGGGTTTTTTCCCCCCCTCTTTTTAAGTAGGTGTGTATCAGCGCCTTTCAAACTCTGACAACTTTTAAGATGTCTGGACTTTATTTATTTATTTATGAGACTTATATACCGCTTTAAGTGCAAGCACTCTCTAAGCAGTGTACACCAGTAAGCAATGTATATATATATTTACATTGCCCCCAACAATCTGGGTCCTCATTTTACCTACCTCGGAAGGACGGAAGGCTGAGTCAACCTTGAGCCGGTGAGATTTGAACCGCTGACCTGCTGAACACAGTCAGCTAAAGTGGCCTGCAGACTTCAGAAGTGCCCAAACAGCATGGACAATCCTGAGAATTGAAGTCCACGGTTTTTTTTTTTTTTAAAGTTGCCAAATTTGTGTGTATCAAGCTACGTCTTATGGGAAGTTCTTTAAGGTTTCCCCTCTCGATATCATGCAAAGATAAATTACAAATGCAAGATTGGGTTCCTAAATAATGTTTCTAATGAAAAATAATGGGATGCTTGAGTGAGTTGTTAAAAGTGGTTAAACTTAACAATGACTGGACAGTAAGAGAGTATAAGCTAAGGTGCCCCAAAAAAGCCCCGCATCAAAGCTGTAAAACTGAGCTACTGTACTAAACGTAATAAAAATATGTTGGCACAAATGAATTAGGACATGAAATGGGCAGCCTAGAATCGTCCATTTTTTGAGAATCCTAAGCTTTGAGAAAAATGCGAAAGATATTCAAGCAGGGAGGGACAAGTAAATATGCACAGCTGCCTAATGTGTGGGATGTAGGACCTAAAACCTAAATATAAATGTTATATGATCAGAAGAGTCACATGCCAAACAGTTTGGTAGTTAATACAGACCTTTGCAATTTGATGCCTTTTGAATGGATCAGTTATAACTCTAAGTTCCCTCTCTAAGTATAGTTCTTTGGCTGGATGAGGATCTCAGGAGTTGTCACAATGGCACCAGTTTAGCAAAGTCTGAACAAAGACATGGCTATACTTGTCTATTTTTACGAGAAAATACAAAGGAACATAAGGCTCCTCGATGCGCATAGCAAAAAATCCAGAGAGCAAAATTTGGCAATTCTAAGTAGAGCTGCTATATGTATGTTGGAAGAACCAATATAGTTCAAGTGAAGGGTACCAGAAGATAGGCTGATGTAAATTGGAAAGTGGCTGATTACGCTGCATTTTCTTTTAGAGAAAAAAAAAATAGAATGGAATTGTAAAATCTCTGGATTTGTGCTTCTGTATTCTGACGGACTTGCCTACAGTGATTTTTATAAATAAAAATGTTCATGACTATCCATCTCACAAAAAAGTGATTCTGGGCAGTGAACATACATAAAGCTCCTCTTATCTCCCCCCCCCCCAGCAACATTCTTCTGAGGTAGGTTGGGCTGAGAGAAGAATTGACCCAAAGCTTTCCGTGAATGTTTACAGGGATGGAGCTAACCTCACTTCCTGATAAGATTCTATAAGTGGAGGAAAAATTCCATAAAGGTGGGCACCGTGGCAGAGAAAGCCTGCCTTCTGGGATCTATCAAGTGTAGTTCCCTATAAGATGGGACCCGCAGCATGCCTTTTCTGCAAGGTCTGATGGGATGGCCAGATCAAACCAGCACTTTGAATTGGGCCTGGAAGCAAACTGGCCAACAATGCAGTTTGTGGAGGAGAGATGTGTTGTATGCCAACCTAGGAGCACACATAACTGTCCACACTGCGCCATTTTGCACCATCTGAAGTTTCCAGATACTCTTCAAGGGCAGCCCAGTGTAGAGCAATTACAGTAGCCCAGTTGGGTGGTGACTAAGGCATAAGTGACAGTGAGCAAAGTCCCCTGATCCAGGAATAGGTACAACGGTTACACAGCACAAAGCTGTGTAAAGGCCTTGACTGCCATCTGCTTTTCAAGCGGGAGTTGTGAGTCCAGAAAGAACCCCAGATTGCATGCGAAGCCATCCCGTCCAGCATCGAAACTAATATTGTCCTAGAATTGTACAGCCTCAAAACTCAAAGCCATTCAGTCTTGCCAGGGTGTAGCAGAAGTCTGTTGTTCTCCATCCAGACTTATAATCACTCTGAAGAGATGTGTAACTTATACAACTATGTCACGGGCTTCAGTTTGTCAAAAATTCTAGAGGGACTGGCATGGACGTTTGCTTTTCATAAGATGGAATTTTACTGTCTTTTACATACTTTTCTGTACTGTGAAAAAGTTTGGTCAGCCTTGCCGAGGGGTTTTGCTTTCCTTTCGTCGCTGAACTTTCTAAACACAGATACTATTACATTTCGTTAGAAACATCAATGTTAAAGTAGGAGAAGCTCGCTGATATTTTATGTTGGCTGCCCAGCATTTTAAAGAACCGCCAGCTAGCCAGAATCTGTAAACCTTTCTCAACTGTCTGACCACGTTTCCATGGTCACATTAATCCCAGATTAAAATGAATGTGCAAGTCAAGCTGTGTGTACTGTTGCAAAACTGGACAGATTAAGCTATCTGTTCTGAGCGCTCATCAATCTTTTACCTTGTTCTTCCCTGCTTCAAACATTTGTCACCATTAGAGCTATCTAAATACTTCCTGAGTAGTTGTGAAGAATAATTGATCCCTTAATCTTTTTTTTTTTTTAACATGGTTGTAGCCCTTTCAGGAAACATGAGGCAGCTGTTCCGCTGTGCTAATCAGGCGGATTTTTTTGAGGATCATCTTAGAGTTCTTTTCCATTTCAGTCTTTAATAAGTTTGCAGGTCGTCCTCGACTTATAACCATAATTTGGTTATAAGTTACCGTTTGAAGTTACAATGGTACTGAAAAAAAATGGACTTACAGCTGGTCCCCAAAGTTATGGCCATTGCAGCCTCCGCTGTCATGTGATCAAAAGTCAGGCGGATTTTTTGTAATTGACATTAACTATCACTGTTTATTAAACACACTTGCTTTAAAAGGAATTGACCCATCAATTTGATGAAAGCATCTTCATCCAATTGAATGCTATTCCATATTTCATTTATGCAGTTTGGTGTAGTGATTAAGGCATCAGGCTTAATTCATTGTATATTCACATTCCTTCCACCGCTTCAATATTTTTTTTCAGATGGCGTGACTAGAACAGTAAACAGTATTCTATGTTTTGTCGCATTATGGATTGATGTTGATAATAATATTTGCTTCTTTTCATTCCATTCTCCTACATGGAATTTGTCTGCTTTTACAAGAGCTATATACTAGGCCAGTGGTTTCATCAACCTATCCACAATAAAGCCAAATATCCTATGTTTTTCTTCTACTTCCAGTTGCTGACTGCACTGAGAATTCAGAATGGGAGACAAACCTATTTGGGAACAGATTGGTTCCAGCTTTGTACAGCATTACTATCAGTTATTTGATACAGACAGGACTCAGTTAGGATCAATATATGTAAGTAACTCTGAAACAGATGTTTTTATTGTGGGCTGTTTTATCATTTACCTCCACCTTCCTTTGGGGTCAATAATGCTGGCACTCTCATAATGTTGTTTAGCAGTACCTTGAGATTAATTTAATCTTAAATATAATTGTATTTACTCTTTGTCACTAATATATTGCCTGTATTTATCTAATATATAACGATTGTCTTGAATTAGTTTTGACTCGGAGGAAATTACTAATTTATTTTTAACAATATGTTACTGTTTCTAGTGTACAAAATATTGTTTTTTCTAAGCAGATTATTGTTTTGTTGTTTCAGATAGATGCCTCATGCCTTACATGGGAAGGACTACAATTTCAGGGCAAAGTAGCTATTGTTGAAAAACTCTCAGTAAGTTTCTGTTACGTTGTAGTCCTAATATTCAGCCTAAGACAGGGGTAGGCAACCTTGGCTCTTTTATGACTCGTGGACTTCAACTCCCAGAATTACTGAGCCAACATGGCTCAGCATGGAAACCTCTCCCTTTCCCCTCAGCATACCTGGCTCAGGAATTCTGGGAGTTGAAGTCCACGAGTCATAAAGCAGCCTAGGGCGGGGTAGGCAACCTTGGCTCTTTTAAGACTCATGGACCAACTCCCAGAATTCCTGAGCCAGCCATGCTGAGGGGAAAGGAAGAGGTTCCCAAGCTGAGCCATGCTGGCTCAGGAATTCTGGGAGTTGAAGTCCACGAGTCATAAAAGAGTCAAGGTTGCCTACCCCTGGCCTAAGATATTACCTTTCCCAAATTCTAGAAATTGTCCCAGCTCTACAGTGAAATAAATGTCACCTTGCAAGTCAGATTTCTTTGGGTGGGCAGCTGCCTGCAGACCATAAGGTGCCTGCTCTTGGCTTAATTGACTTTTATGTCCTGGACATAGTGATCTTAATGTTTTCATCTAAATCTACTCTCCTGTAAGTAAGCACCATTGTTTTCATGGCATACTATTATCACTCAGGAGTTTTATTTAAAATGTACAAAGAGAAGCCCACCACAAATTTGGATAAGAGTCTTTTCTAGGAGGTAAAGGAGTGCCATTTACCCCCTAAACCTCTGCATTTCAGGTATAGGTATAGGTAGCCGTCAACTTACGGTCACAGTTGAGCTCAAAACAACTAAATGAGACTGAATTCTGTCCCATTTTACAGCCTTTTTGCCACAGTTGGTAAGTGAATCACCGCAGTTGTTAGTAACATGGTTGTTAAGTCAGAAGTCCTCAAATCCCAGGTCCGCGGACCGGCCCGCAGCCTGTTGGGAAATGGTCATGCGAATGAGAGCGCGAAGATCCATTTGCGCGTGTGCGAATTAGGTTGCACATGCAAAACCATCCCCTCCCCCACTGCTGCCTCCGGTCCGCATAGCTGGAACGGTTGGGGACCGCTGTGTTAAGTACACCTGGCTTCCCCGTTGACTTTGCTTGTAAGCAGGTCACAAAAGGGGATCACACGACCCCCGTCGTAAATACGAGTCGGTCGCCAGGCGGCCTGATTTTGATCCCGTGACCGCGGGAGATGCTGCAGCAGTTGTAAGTGGGGGAAAATGGTCAGGAGTCGCTTCCCCCCCCCCCCAGTGCCATTGTAACTTTGAACAGTCGCCAAACGAACCGTTGCAAGTCGAGGACTCCCTGTCGTTCTCACACAATGGCAGCGCTTGGGACTGGAATTTTCATTGCTTAGTGACCCAGTTGCAAGCTGCAACGTTGCATGACCAGGATGCTTAACGAGGGAAATTCCAGCGCTTCCAGTTGAGATCGTTAAGGGAATCACCTGTCATTTCCCAAGGCCATCACGTGGTCACCACATGCGACCTCCTGCCAGCTTCCCCATCGCCTTTGCTTGTAGGCAACCAGCAGAGGAGGTTGCCCACGGTGATCCCGCGACTGTGGGATTGCAGCAACCAACCTAAGACCATTCGTGTCTGCAATTCATTCAGCGTCGTCCTAAGCTTTGAACAGTCACTAAATGAGTGGTGGTCAAATGAGGACGACCGGTACATCCTTCTGTGTTTCTCCCTTGTCTTTCAGAGCCTTCCTTTTCAGAAAATACAGCACAGCATCACATCCCAAGATCATCAGCCTACTCCAGACAGCTGTATACTCAGTATGGTAGTCGGACAACTTAAAGTAAGTCTGATTTCAGGCCTGGGTTGCGTAAAAAATGATGATGATGATGATGATGATGATAAAGTTGGAAGGGACCTTGGAGGTCAACTAGTCCAACCCCCTGCTCAGGCAGGAAACCCTATACCATTTCGGACAGATGACCGTCCAGTCTCTTCTTAAAAACTTCCAGTGTCGGAGCATTCACCGCTTCTGGAGGCAGGTTGTTCCACAGGTTAATTGTTTAACTGTCACGAAGTTTCTCCTTAGTTCTAGGTTGCTTCTCTCCTTGGTTAGTTTCCATCCGTTGCTTCTTGTCCTGCCTTCAGGCGCCTTGGAAAATAGCTTGACTCCCTCTTCTTTGTGGCAACCCCTGAGATACTGGAAGACTGCTATCATGTCCCCCCTCGTCCTTCTCTTCGTTAAAGTAGACATACCCAATGTCCATAAATGTCCATAAATATATATATCCCTGTCAGATTTTTGTCAAGGTTCCAGCATTTGAGATTTTCAAATCATAAAATGTTTTTCTCCTGTTCTGCTCAGGCAGATGATGACCAAATTCTAGGTTTCCATCAGACCTTTTTGTTGAAAAACTTACAAGGGGCCTGGGTATGCACCAATGAAGTCTTCAGGCTAGCACTCCACAATGTTTAGCCTTCTGGTCACCTCATACTCTGCTCTTCGCTGCCCCCTCTCTAAGTAAGAAGCGTTCAGCTTGTTTCCTCTGCCCCACCTGATCTTGCAACAGCATGAACATTGCTTGTGTGTTACTTGAGGAGGGTTGCAGTATGACAGTGTGGATTGCTCCAGGTGGATGACTCTCGAAATGAGTCGCGGTGACGTTTTTCTTTGCAGAAGCAACTGCCAATTAGTTAATGTAGTGTGTTTTGATATCGGTCAGTCGCTACTTTTAACACCTTGAGGATACAGGGCTGCTTAGAACTCTGGAACGTTGGCGTGGCACACAGTGAAAGCTTGCCTTGTTATGTCTGAAAACTGTCTGCATTCATGCCTGGAGGTGCAGCTGTGCAACCTGTCTCTTACACCAGGGTCCCAAGGCGGAGGCAGCTTACAGTTCAATCCATTGCGAGCATGCCGTTCATAAACAGACATTTGTCTCATTCATTTGTTTCATTCATAAGGAAGGAGGATGTAAAAAAACAAAGAGTGGGCAAACACAATTATATCGACTGCTTTCTCTCAGTAAAGGAGGGCTAAAGGATTGGGACAAAAGGCATCACAGAAAAGGTGGGCTTAAAGAATGGATTTGGCTTATTGTTTTCAGAGTGGAGCAGTAGGATGGATCTTGGAATCGATGGAAGAGAATATTTGTAGCCCAGGGTTGAACTGTGGAGTCTTTGGTGCTCTCAGCTTAGCTCTTTTCTTGTAGAAGTTTAATTATTCAACTAGTCTGGTCAGTGCTAGGTGATGTTACCTTCTTGTGGATGGTGTAATAAGATGTCTGCAAGAAAACAGCGAAGCTCAGAAAGCACAAGGACTCACAAAGCTCAGATGTGCTGTTCTGCACTCTTCCACTTTGGGTGATGAGAAAAACAAATAGCAAATTGTTGGTTGCAGAAGGACTAACTTTTAGGAAAAGCTCTCATATCTCTCCTAAGTTGACTTTCCCTAATCCGGCACGATCCCAATAAGTTGGACAGCTGTTCCCAGCCAACATGATGTGCTAGCTGGGAACTCTGAAATATCAAGATGCTTCTGTGAAGCTGATTTGACTTCTAAGTGGACCTTTGCACAGGGGTGGGTAGCGTGACTTGGCACACAATAGTAAGGATTGTCTCAGACTATTTTGGGGGGAAGTTGGAAAAATTTCTGAAGCCAGCACAAAAGTTCCAGTTCCAGAATGCAAACTAGTTTGGGTTAACTGCCAGTTGTTGCCAACATGCTATCTATAGTCATGGTTCGTTCTTATCTTTAGCAAATATTTAACATGTAGATCTAGTTGATCTGCTGTGCTAAGCTACAATTTCTTTAACCATAATTAACTGTCTTAAGTCAGAACTGGGTGAGTTTACACTCTTCCAAGCCACAAATATGGTTTATATGCGCTGACTGGATTTACAAAGCATACAAGCATAAGAGTTAGTACAATGTGCAAATACAGCCTTAGTCTTGCAATGCCATGTACCTCAACATTAATAATAGATACAGTGTAACCTTGTTTTAACAGACTAATTGAGGAAATGTCTATTGTATAAAATGTCTATTATATTCGAGAGTAAATAATTGCACTGAATTTGTCATATAAATGATCTAGATCAGTATTTCTCACCCTTGAGAACTTTAAGATGTGTGGACTTGTAACTCCCAGAATTCCCTAGCCAGTATGCTAGAATGGGAATTCTGCACATTAAAAAGGTTGAGTAACACTGGTCTGGATTGAAAATTGATCCATTTAATGTGAAGTCCATTGTATCAAGTTCATAGTAAATCAAGGTTTCACTTGGTTGTACTGCAAAACCCAAAAGTATTATGTTTGCTAGAGTATAGGCAGTTTATTTTCGTGATGATTATATGAGAAGACACGATTCCACCTTAGGTAGTCATAAAAACATCACTAAAGGCTCAGGAAGAAATGTTCCCTATTTTATAACTAGAAGTGAAACTTTAGCTCATTATCCAGATTTAAACTTAAAGCTATTCCTCAATTTATGACTGCAATTGAGACCAAATTTCTGGATTTAAGTTGTTGCAGTTCTAAGTTGAGGCATTCACTTGACCAGACCAACACTTTTGGTAGCAGTCATTAAATAAATCATCATAGTTGTTAAGTGAATGCCACGGTCATGTGAATCCATTGTTCCAAATTCCTGGCTGAGAATTTTGGAAACTTATCATCTGAAAAACACTAAATTGGGGAACATTGAGTAATTATTATAGTAATCAGGAACTGCATTTAAGTTTCCAGCGGTATTTAATTATTCGTGCCATTCTGCATCATCATGACTAAAAATGCATGTTGTGTTCTTGCACAGAGACAAAATGCCACATTTTAGTTTCTGTCAAAAAGAATTGCTGGTAAGGCAAGAAGTATGCATGACGACCTTTGATTCCAGTTACAGGAATTCGATGCGCTGCTCAAAAGCATCTAAATGTTTATTTTTCATTTGTCTTTGCAGGCCGATGAAGATCCTGTTATCGGATTCCACCAGATATTTCTATTAAAGAACATCAACGATGCTTGGGTTTGCACCAATGACATGTTCAGGCTAGCATTGCACAACTATGGTTGAAATGGCATCCCTGAGGCACCTGTCCTTTTTTTTTTCCTCCTCCTCCTTACCAATATTAATCACACCCATGGAACATTCCAAATATCATACACAAACCTGCACACCATGGCAAACAAGCAAGACTTGTGACATACCCTTTCGAAGAGTTTTATGTTGTGCCACTAGAAGAGTTCCTTGTGCATGATGTTTGGAAGTTAGAATTAGCTGCATTTGACAAAGGAAGGGTATGTTTTACCAGCATGCCTTGGGAAGAATCCATAATACAAATGGTCGTGTTTCTGTACTGACAAGTTTCTCTAATAACCCAAAGAAACAAAAGGATATTAAAGAATAGCCAGCCTGAAACCAACTCAGATAATTGATCTCTCTTTTTTTGTTGTTCAAATGTTACAGTGCTACATTATACAATAAAACCATGTGATTTTCTTAACAGTTTAAATTGTTGGATCTTCAGTCTGTAAATGGAAAGTCTTGTATTTCCAAGAATTCTGTTTGAATTCTCAGTTTTGGGAATATGTGGCTGGACATAAGTTTTAAGTTTTAAAATTTCCACGTACGCTTTGTGCTCTCGCTTGCTTTTGGTTGGAAGCTTAACGTGGATGTGGCACTGAATAAATGGCTTTCATGCCTGAAATGGGAAGTCTCACCTCTCCCTGAAAATCATGATGTAGATTTATATTAATTACCTATGTGCTGCAAGTTTATTATACTGAACCTCAAGTCAATTTTTTTCCATACTATTATGCAGATATAGATAAAAGACTGTGAAGACCAACAATGCGCGTGTGCTTATTTTGAGGCTTATTTCTCCATGTTATCCTTTCTTAGTCGGCATCATGATATCACCCTGTTTTTGATAATCAAAAGCTGAGTCGTCATTGCATTCAGCGTCTTCGGGGTACCAGTTTCAAAATGAGATGTTAACTTTGGTCCAGATCAGGAGAGTGCCACATCCCATTCCGTGTTGCCTGTTGCTTATTTTGATATCCCAAGCGTCTGCTGTATCTTGGTTGCAATAGACAACAGCCAGGTGCCACCAGTAGCGCCATTTTAATGGTCCAGTTGGGTCAATATTTGAAGTACCATTTGCTGCAAAGCTGATAAAAGTTACAGAAAAGAAATGTATCTTCAAAATGGCCAGGTTGTTCTTCTGGTTGTTTAATACAAGCTGGGGGATCTTGAATTCATAGGCCTTATGCCTTCCCAAGTCTATTTTTCTATTTTCTAAACTGAAAAGTTTAAAGCTGGGCTGGCAATCAGGTTAACACAGCCTAATTCCACATGCTAATGAACAGCAAAAAAAAGTATGCAGTTCTTAATCACTGATGTTCAATTTTGGAAGAACGGAGTTCAAATTCATTAATTTAGGCCTGTGCTTGTTAAGAAATTGCAATTGTACACACCAGCTGAATAATTGTTTAGAGAAATGCATTTTGAAGCTTGTCACAATTTTAAAAGGTTAGCATATAAAGCTTTTGAATGTCCTAACTTTCCTAAGCGCATATGTATGTATGTATGTATGTATGTATGTGCCATCAGTGTAGCTGCTTCATTGCAAACACCACAGTTGAAATTAATCAGTCTGGGGCAATGGATCACAAAAGCTAGCATGTTAGTACCTAGGTATAGGTTTAGTTGAAAACTATTGTCGATGGAATTTGTTTCCAACATTGTAGCATTCAAAGCTGGTGACAAGATTCTTTTTATGAAGAATTAGTGATGAAGGGAAGTTTAATCTGGGTATCTCAGCACCACCCTATTCAAAATGGCTAGTGAATGTTTGGAAAGATTGCATGGTGTCAGGTTTTAGTTGAATAGGTATATGCCTTAATGAAGCAGTATGTAATAGCCATACATAAACAAAATGCCTTAGAAAAATTCCTTGAATGCATATTCATAGGAACACATTTTGCCTAAAGAGGCTTTATTCTTTTTAGCTAAGCAAATGAGGAATGCCTTTTGTCATCCGTAAGGAAGAAATGACTATTTTTCCACATGCTGTGAACTATGGCTACTTCAACTTTCAGTATTAGTACCTGGCATTTGATTAGACATTGTCCCTTTCCTAAGCGAAGCTAAGACTTTAGTTGGAGGCAAGAACTGGCTGCTTTCTTCCCTGTAGGAAGGGAGGTTCATCTAAACTATTTCTGAATTAAATTGCATGGTGGAAGGGCAAAATGTATTGTAAAGACATTAGTTGCTGCAAGAAAGGATAATAAAATCTTTGGTCTGGGAATATAGAAGCCATGTAAATAGATTAAGGTTATTGAGCTGCTGTTTAAATAAACTGTTCTTTCTATAAAAATACTAAAAGGGATATTCTGTTGGGATATGCGTAGATCAGGTTTGTGTAGACGTGACTCACCATGCTCACAACCCATCTACTATATTTTATGGTTCACCAGGCACGTTATATCTGTTTTTGTAAAATTCTGGACAAGAAACAAAACACATTTTCAAGGCCCACATATGTAAATCATAAGCTCTAGAGCTCTTTTTACTTCTTGTTTTTCACTTTGATACAAAAGTGCTCTAAAACTTTGCTAGTATAATATTCAATTTGGTATCAGTTGCCGGAAACAAAATGTATTCAAGAACTGCTGAGTTTACACACTGCTTAATAACAAATACTTGATGTACATGATAAAGAAAGCAGACTTTAATATTGTGAAGCTTGGTTTGCAGAGCATCGCTAGTTTTACCAATAAATATGCTGAAGTTTTGTGGAGTAAGGTTATCTACCTATTCCGTTATGGGCTGTGTAATCTTGGCTTGTTTAAGACTGTACCTGTGGCAAATGTACTAATAAAATTCTTTAACAAGCACTCTTTGTAAGGCTAAGCTTAGAAATTTAAGAAACAATGAAAATGAAGTTAGGCATTCTTGTGCTGTTTAACTATAGTGAAGCAATGACCATGAAAAGGTGGTCAGATATCCAGCGAGAGATAATCACTCTAAAATAAAAATGCTTTTAAATTATCCTCTTTGAATTCTGGTGCTTGCCTGCCAAAGAAACAATTCTTTATATACCTGTAAGCAATTTATAGCTTAGTTAAAAAAATTTTTTTTCAAGTTTCTGCCATTTCTATGTTACGTATGTTGTGATGTATAATAAAGAGGTAATTTTAGCACCTCTTACATGTATTATACCGTGAACAATTTACAGTAATTTGGTTTGTGATCCTTCTGTTGGGTAATAGTACATTGGAACCAGTCAGAATAATCTCTCTAACTTGGACTTTCAAACTCTTCCAATGTCATCTCCATTACCTCTATCCACCTTTTGCTGATTGTCCTGTTTTCCTTCCACCTTTTCCAGCAAGATGGCCTTCTCCAGAGAGTTAAGTCTTCACATGTGTCCTAATTAGGATGTTACGGTCAAGTATTGTACAGTCCTACACTGAATTGTACTGTAATTTTCCACCACAGAGTATCACCATTCTAGACTTATTCCAACTCCACAATGTTCCCAGTTTCCTATGCAAGCCACAAGCCACTAAGAAATGAATGGGGTGGTCAGTTTTCAATATTTCACACAGTTCTTGAAGAAAAGTTTTTTAAAAAACTATTCCTGTATTTGTTGCAAAGATTTGACAACTTTTCAGCAAGAACATAAAATCTAAGATTAATGGAGAACTGTGGTTGATGCATCATGTTTCTTAATCTTGCCTACCAATACCTGTCTTTAATACAGAGACTTGTTTACTGAAACAGTCTAGCTCTTCAGCAAAGCTGTTCTACCTTTCTATGGGAGAAGCTGGATAATAAGTACAATAATGCATAAGTTTCTCCTTTTATTTTCATATCGTTTCTACGCTCGTCTGCCATGATCAAATATTACCAGTATCATTGGTAATTCATTGTATTGTCAAATTATTAAATACAGGTAGTCCTCGACTTACGACCACAACTGAGCCCAACATTTCTGTTGCTAAGTGAATTTTGCCCCATTTTATGACCTTTCTGACGCAGCTAAGTGAATCACAGCATTTCTTAAATTAGTAACATGGTTAAGTGAATCTGGACTCCCCATTGACTTTGCTTGTCAGAAGGTCACAAAAGACGACCACGATCCCAGGACTCTGCAACTGTCATAAATATGAATCAGTTGCCAAGCATCTGAATTTTGGTCACGTGACCACGGGGATGCTGCAATGGTTGTTAAGTGTGAAAAATGGTCATAAGTCACTTTTTTCAGTGCCCTTGTAATTTTGAACAGTCACTAAATGAACTCCTGTAAATCGAGGACTCCCTATATAAATATTATTTACATGCTTTTTTTATGCAGAGAGAAAATACAAAATATTTTCTAGAGTGTTTAATGAGAGGAGCTAGTGCATCACTGAAATGGCTGTTTAACATACAACTTCTTAAGCAGCAAGACTTAAGCAGCAACCCCGTGCACATTTAGAAATAAGAATCTTGGTTACTTACTGATTAAATCAATGTATACAACTGATGGGTCGGTCTGAAAAAGCAACGTGTACATTGGTGAAGGCGGGACGCGTTCGCATCTTTGTATGAGGCTGTGTATATAGATATATGCAAGGGGAACCTATCCACCTGTCCGGGGAAAATCTATACCTATATTTTTGTTTGATGCAGCCCAAAAGCATCTCCGCAACGAGAACCAGGCAGCTTTGGATTGCCGCCCTAGTCTTTGAAAAAGACGCCTCCCTGCAACCCTAGCCCGGCTGTCTCCTGTCGCTTTGGAGGGCTCAAGGAAAGCCCGGCCATGTAAGGCCAGAGAAGGAGGGACTCCCCGCTCCCCCGTCGCCCCTTTTTCTACACAACCTCTCGACACGTGTTTTCCCATTCCTGTGAGCGCCCTCGGCGGCGGCGACGCCGGGAGGACCCCGCGCGCCGGGATGCGGTTTCCGACGGGAGGAGAAGGGCGTGCGGACCGGAAGCGGAAGTGGGGGCGGGCGAGTCGGGCTCGGCCTGTCTGGGCGGCGGGCGGCCGGGCGGGCGGGCGTGAGAGGCGGCTTCGGTCTTGGCGGGGCCCGATGGCCTCCGCTAGCATCGACATCGAGGACGCGACCCAGCACCTGCGCGACATCCTCAAGCTGGATCGGCCGGGCGGTGAGACGGGGCGCGGGGCCTCGAGCGGCGGCCTTTGCGGCGCTTCGGGCGGGGTCTGGTGCTGGGCAGAGACGCTCCGCTTCGGGGCTGGAGGGCAGCGCGAGTGCCCGGGCTGGAATTCCTTCCTCCGGACTGAGGCGCTGGTGCCGTCCGGAAAGAACGAGAGGAGAGAAGCAGCTTCTCCCCCGATCCGGCGCCCTGCAGGGAAGCCGGCTGCCCTTCCCTCCTCGCCATTGCCCCGTCTGAAGGGCCCCGGTTGCCGGGCAGGCGGAGGCACAGGTTTGCACTCGGGGGGGGGGGTGTAACATCCCCTGCCTTGGCTTGGGAGCAAATCCGCTGGGACTCGGCCCTACCCGA